ACATGGCAGTGTAGACAGTGCTACAGTGCTAGTAGCTGCCCTCTCGGCACTGGTAGCTACACCCCTCATAGAGGTGGGTTTTTTATAGCACTGGGAGAGTTCTGTACAAAGCCGCGACTACACAGCCACGTTAAAGCCTGCACCCCACACCCCGCATCCTCGGCCCCACCCCAGAGCCCGCATGCCCCACCAGAGTCCTCAACTGTACCCCCCACACACCCCCTACCCCAGACCTGACCCCCTTCCCACACTCCAAACCCCTCAGCCCCACCCCCACCACATGAATTTTGTTATGTGCACCAATATGGAGGTAATGTGTCAAACAAACACATTTTGTTATGGGCACATAACAAAATTCGTTCCGCCTATGCATGGGAAAAATTAGAGGAAGCCTCTATCTGACCTCACATATATAACCTCTGACCTCACATATATCTGTTCACCTATAGTTTTGGCTGAATCTCATACATCAATGTGAGACGCCATCATCATTTTTTAGCTTAAAAAGCCAACACTCAAAAATTAAGCAATGTCAGATTTAAAGCTTCCCATGCTACTTTTTATCTGCCACTTCGTGTGTATGCATTAGGACAGGAAAAAAAAAAACTGTTGTGTAATTTAGGATCATCACATACACATCTTCCACAAGACCCTAGCTTCATTCAGAGCACAGGTTGGACACACAAGAAGGCTGAATTAAAAATCAATGGCACACCAACTCCCACATTTTTACCAAATGAGAAACAGAAAATGGGACACCTTTGGAAACAGAGAGAAAAGAAGAAGCGTTTGGAATTCAGTTCATTTTTTGTGGGCACCATAAAATAAGTAAATCATAAAGAAGTTAAGGCATTCCCAAATCCAAGATTCCAAATGACAAATTTTTTCTGTTGTATTAAATTTTAAGATTCTTTCATATATAACACACACACAAACAAAATATTGTGCAGAATTTGTCAGATTTTATCTACCATCGCTGCCAATACTAGTTATGACACAGCCCTATACTACCTGAAGTTCCTACTGGACTCCCAAAGGGAAAAAATTCCAAACTGACCAAAGCAGCATAAGAAAATACAACTACACTAACATCAACGGGGGCTGAATCTCTAAATTTTCCAAACGAGGTGAAGAAATACATCTGCTGTAATTACTGATCACTATTACCAAAATTACACTTGACAGCAAATAAATATAATGTTCACAGAATTTAATAAAATACATTTTGTAATACCAACACAAATATACAAGATAAATCTCTAACATTTCCAGTTGGATGTACCGTAGATATTTCTTTTCTATCTTAAGTTTTATTTACTCGGAATCAGATAATATATCTGCAATATCCCTTTGTGCTTATAAAAGTATTTAAGTTCTTGCATTAGGTGGTGTGTAAGATGGAGTCAAGTGGAAATTTCAAACTACACTCTTTAATGGACACATTTATCTAGAAAAAAGGTTAAGATATCCCTACATTAAAAAAAATCCAAGTGCAGTTCTACTCTGCAAAATGACTGTGTAATGTTACCACCTCCTTACTCAACAGACCAGCTCCATAAATATATTTAGAGTTATATCTGCTTACGTCAGCACCAACAATTAGTTTTTACTACTCTCAATTCTTGTTACTGTAGCAGAACCAGTAAGGATTTGGGAAAGCAAGCTGGAGTACAGGGTGCCTCATAAATCAACAGATATGTTAATTAAATTGCAGTTGCAAAAGACAATGGTGTTTCACATATGTAAAGAAGAGCACATCTGGTGTAAATGAGTACAGAATTTGGCTTATAGCGTCTTTTAACCTTGTCTCTGAAGTAGGAAAGGTTCCCACTTCTCGCAAGAGGTGCCAGCAACAGTTGCAACTTAGCTGGTGCTGATCATGTTTTAAACTACTAACGTAGACCAGAAACACACCAAGTTAAGTACCAGTTCTGAAGACTTGTTTAAAATCTGCTTGAAGCTCTGCTGCTGCTATCAGAGGGTGGAGGAGTCAAGGAAAAAATCACACCCCACAGTAGAACATCTTGAGTACAGATGCAGAAAAAACAAATTAAGTAGTTGGGTGTTTATTTAATGATATTTCTGTTGTTCATTCTCTTCTTTCCAATCCTTCTCCCCTTCCTCCTCCTCCCCACAATGTACATCCACTTCTTTCCTATATGATGCCCCCCTCCCCCCAATAAGACTAGGCTACAACATGCCACTAGTGACTGAGCAGTGCCTGGCAGTCAGCCCACTACCCACCACTGGCTCACCTCCTGCAACATCATGAGGGCACAAATCAAATGCTTAAGCACATCAGCCACTCCCCAATGCTGTAGCTTGCCAAGGTCCAGGGCACACACTGCAGAAACTGTGTGAACCATTTCAGTTATTTAATATAAGCTAGCCACTAAAATGTTTGGAAAATTTTTTATTTGTAGTACAAATATCAACAAGCCATCTTCTTAACACTACATGCATTTGACTGTCAAAATAGAAAAGTGGCAGCAGCCTAAAAATTTCAATTTGCGTGTTAAGACTAATATTTTAAATTCACAGATTCCAAGCCAAGGAGGAACCATTGTGGTCATCTAGTCTGATCCCCTGTGTAACACAGGCCACAGAAATTCTCCCAAAATAATTCCTAGAGCATATCTTTTAGAAAAAAATCCAATTTTGACTTTAAAAATGGCCAGTGATAGAGAATCAACCACACCATTTTGTAAATTATTCCAATAGTTAATTACTTTCACTGTTAAAAATGTACACCCTATTTCTAGTCTGAATTTGTCTAGCTTCAATGTCCAGCCATTGGATCATGTTATATCTTTCTCTGCTGGATTGTAGAGCCCATTATTAAATATTTGTTCCTCACGTAGGTTCTTACAGACTGTAATCAAGTCATCCCTTAACTTTCTCTTTGTTGAACTAAATAGACAGAGCTCCAATCTTTCACTATAAGGCATGTTTTTTAATCCTCTAATTATTCTCATTGCTCTTTTCTTAACTAACTTCAATTTTTCCACATCCTTCTTGACTTGTGGACCCCAGAACTGGACATTCCAATATCCAAGCAGCAGTTGCACTAGTGCCAAATACAGAAGCAAATAACCTCTCTACTCCGATAAAACTATATCTATATACTGCATAATAAGAAACGAGAAACAAACAAAAAACAAAAAAATTATGTAAAGTATAAACTACTTGCCTGAAAAGTTGGTTAATTTCAACTTAAAACTGCTGATACAGTTCCTTCAATATAGTTATTAAAATTAAGTTACCTTTAGTGCCTAACATCTAGTGGCCAAGAATCATTACCCTGTGTACTGAAGTCTGCACATTAGAATAGTGTTAAAAGAATATAATTTCTGAAATTAGCACCTTTACTCCTTTGCCAAGCATCTGCAGAGAAGCAGACCAAGCAAGACACCTCAGCTTCTCAGTTTGATCAATGATTCCATAAAAGAACAGAAGGTTATTTCAAAGACAATACAAGTTTGTAGGAGCAGAAAGTTCACAGATCAGCAGATTTATAGTCTTCCCATAGATTATTTTCTCCAGAAACTGAACTTTGAATTAAAATTTGAAGAACCAGCATAGGTGTTACAGTATATAAGCTCCAGCAATTAAAATGTGACCTTTGTTATGATCCTTTTAAAGTGGCAGCAATAAATTTAGGTACTCTAAGGCCCCAATCCAACAAAACACCGGAAGGAAGGAGGTACATGCTATATTTTAAGCATGTGGGATTTTAAGCAAGTATTCCAAGCAAGTCAATGAGCCTACTCGCATGCTTGACGTTTATGCATGTACTACAGTAATTTTCCAAACTAGGCCTAAATTACTAATTTTTACAATGAGCAGATATTTCAAGGTGCGCTCATTTTTACAAAAGTGTTGTAAAATAGTCAAGAAAAAGTCTGAACTAGTAAATAAATAATACTAACCCATACCCTGGTGAGTATGTGTATGCTTTGTATTGAAAAAAGTGGTGAGTCTGGTAAGTGTTGCCTTTTGAGAGAAGTAATATGTCTAACGGTTAGCACAAACTGGAGAGAGTCACAATTCCTGGGTTCTAGTCCTAAGTCTGCCCTCACTATAGCTTTGTCTACACTAGCCCCCCTTTTTAAAGAAAGAGTTTCCTACCCATGCAGCACAACCAGTAGTAGTATTAGTGGTCCAGAAAGGCGTGTGCCTACACTGTTTTAACTACATCTCAACTAAATCTATTTGCAACATATCTACATGACATTTCAGTAAAAACTACCATTGGTGGTTAAGAACCCTGTCTAAATCAGCATTCCCACTGTTGTTACCATGGAGCTGCACCCAAACATCATTGTTAGCAATGAGGGGAAACTGTTCAGAGAAAGATTGGAGTAGACTACACAAGGCCTACGAATTTAGATAAGACAACTTCTTGGTGCATTAAGCTTTACTTTTTGATCATTTCTGTAACATTAGCTCAATAATACCAACTCTGAGGGATGCTGGGAAACTTACTTCATTAACTAGTGTTAACCTTACTTTCTGTTTCATTTATGGGAGATGATGAAGGGAACCCACTGCCCAGGTGCATAAAATAACTAAAAAAGCCACACCATGCCTCTGCAAGTAGAAGCAACTACAGCCCACCTACCCATGTAACAAGTAGGAAACATGCAGGACAAGATCAACCCTTCACTGTATAAACTGGGAAAACTGAGAAAAAGAATACCAGGTCTGGCCCCTGGATCTTCTGCTCAGGGACTGTGCCTAACACATCCCCTCTGAGTGACCCAGAAAAGGTCAAATCAATAGCTACCATTCAAATGCGAAAGCTACCTATCTTCCCCCACCCCGAGCACTTCCTGCTCCTCTCACAAGGCGGGGGGAGGCACCTACTGTCAGGGTGGAAAGGGGCAGGAACCAGAGAGGCCTAGAGCAGCAGCAGCCGTTTCCCAGCCCCGAGCCTCCGGGCAGGCCCCGAGTCCCACCATCGGCCCCACGGAGCCGCACAGCGGACAGGCCCCACTTACCAGCCGGACTCCGAGAGCGCGGAGCTCGTCCCGCCAGCCATGGTAGCTCCGGCCGTCGCCGCCTCCGTGCCCCTCGGCTGCTGCTGCTGCTGCTTCCCACAAACTTGCCGCGGCGCTGGGCGGCCGGCTGGGCCCGTACCCGGCGGGGGGGGCAGCGGCGGGGGAGGAGCCGCGTGGCCTGGCCTGGCCCGCCCCTCCCGGCTGAGGGCCGCGCCCCCGCCCGCTCTCGGCGCAGCTCGCCGGCTGCAGGCGACTGCGGCCCCGGCGCAGACCCCGCCGCTCGCAAGCGAACAAAACCGCCGGGCCGGGGGAGGCTCCGGCCGTCCCGCTACTGAGGAGGCGCGGGCCCGGCGCCCCCTGCCAGCGCCAGGGAGGCCGCCGGCGCCGCCATCACGGGGACGGGCAGAAGAGGCGGCGCCAGCGGCGCGGCCGCCCCAGGGCCTGGGCTACCGGCGGGCTCGGGCCAGACTGGCTGGCGGGGGTGGGGGGTGACTTGACTCTCCGGCTCCCGCCGGTGATTGCGGATGTTGGCAGGGGAGCTCACGGACGGCGTGGCTCGGCCACATGGGCCAAGGGGAGGTTATTGTCACACACCCACCCCGGGCAGGGCGGGAATGAAGTGGATGCCCTTGATGGCAGAAGGCCGTTTGTACGAGAGCTCGCCCGCTCAGGCGGCCCTGGTCTGAGCTCTTGCACGGGGAGGAGGGCAGCTCTGCCAGAGTCAGGGGCATGGGGGGCCCCAAACCTCTGTGTGTAAATAAAATAATCGGGGAGGTAGCGTGGCCCCAAAGGTCTCACCAGGCCAGGGCTGTAACGCCAGCTCCTAGCACTTAGATATGGTGCAAACTGCTGCCCGTGGGAGGCTAACTAGAGAAGAAAACCTTTCAGCAATGCAGGGCGAAGGTGACCGTCTTTCCCAAAGGGAAAAACAGGAACCTGGGTGAGGCTAGCCTGAGCTCCACCCCAGCCTCCCACGCAGGGCTGGCCTGATGAGTCCCGAGCCCTCCGTCGCATCCCTGATCCCAGTCTTTTTAATCTCTCCTCCGGAAGCTGCTCTATACCCTTAATCATTTTTGTTGCCCTTCTCTACCAGTTCCAATTCTAATATATCTTTTTTGAAAGGAGTAACTAGAATTGCTGCAGTATTCAAGGTGTGGGGTGTACCATGGATTTATACAGTGCAAGTTTTCTGAAAATGCAGCCTCTAGTCTGAGTGTCCAAGCTGTTGATATTCTGTAGCTAATGATTTTTAACCCCAAGAGCAAAGAAGAAAGCAAGGGAGCCTCTATATCCACTTCTGTACAATCCCAACCTCTCTTTCTGACATCTCATGGATGTCCAGTGGGCATTTTAAGCTCAACTTGGCCAAAACTTAACTATTGATCTGTTATGCACACATGCCTGAAAACCTTATCTCACCAATTTCTCAGTCACTATTCAGAACAATGCTACTGAGGTCATCTTTGTGGTTTGTCATTTCTCTCATAAAACTACCTTCTTTACGTCCTTCCACCATCTTCCTTCCCTCCACTGTATCAAACGCTAGCACCTTGTCTTTTTCTTCAGTGCCCATCACCTTTAATCCTACTTTGTCTATCAGATCTACCAATTTATCAAACTGTTGACACCATCTTTGCTCTACCAATGAAAGCAGCCTCCATACCTTCTTCCATGCAGCCCCTACCCTCATGTCTACAAGTCTGCACATGATGAGCTCTGACTTCTGCTTTTCTGACCCCTGCCATTCAGTTTCTTGCTTCTTCTTATTTGTCTGTTTGTCTGTAATTAAATAACAAGTAATATGGAAACACTGAACAACAACTGACACAGAGCAAGGAACCAATGCCAACACTGCACTGGTAGATCTGGGCCATTCCTCACATTACTCATACTTTCTCATTTTAGCTTCAGGGGAAACGTAGAAAAAAAGCATTATGCACTGGGACAGGGAGAAGGAGAAAGGGCAGACATTCTCTATGAATTGTACAGGTACTGAAGCCATTGTCCTCTTGTTGCAAGTACATGAAAAATAATAATAGTCATCAATACCACCGACAGAGAACTATAGGTTGTATTGATGGTTACCCCTTAGAAAGCTGCTCTACATAACATGCACTGAATCACCAGACAACCTTGTACTCAAGTTGTCTATCCGGATTGTGCCAGCCCATATCCTGGTAGACTTTAAGCAAAGTGTGAGTTTAATTAGTGGTGGGGGCAAGGAGAGTTTTATCTGATGCACAGAGATACGCTAACCATAGCATTATGCCCAGAAATTCTTATATTAGCACTGAGATATGGCCTAAAATCTCAGAGATCAATTTTCTAAGAAACAAATTGCTCCATTCAAGCAGTCTTACATGCCTATGCATAGCAGCTGCTGGCAGGCATCTGTACCAGAGGTGTGGAACTATAGTGCTAATGCATTCATGCTACTTACACTTAGGGTGGGGCAGAGTTAACTGGATAGACAGACAGTAGTATTAGTAGTAAAAGTGGATTTCATTTAGAAACTTCTCTGATTGCATATTAGATGTCAGGAAGAGACACAGTGTGATCAGGGATATTGTACAGGGGCTGGAAAAAGTGTGCCTACATAACAAATTGGTGAGAGAAGGGGAGCCACTATGGAGAAAACGCATTCTCTCATTGATTACATACAGATCAACCAACATGGAGAACCTGTCACTGTGGGAATTACTGACTTCTATAAAATCATCAAAACATCTCTTGAGTTACATTAAAGCATAGAGGCTCAGGCTCCCCTTTAAATCTCCCCCTAAATTGCTCCCAGTTGCGCAGATATCTCCGTTGCACTGGCACCTACTTTCCACTGCAACCAACTGCCCAGCACAAAAGAGTCATATATTCCCACCAAGCGCTTTCACAGCCCTATTTATCCTCATTTTTCAACGGTTTCCAAACCACAGTCTTGTTGGATATATTTCAGTAGAGTTAGGCAATGTGTTCCTATTTTTCTTTCAAATGTCTGTTTCAAAAGGTTAGATGTTGACAGTATGGGCTTGGAAAGCAAGACCTATGAGAAACAACTCGCAGAACTAAATCCAAATCCTACCACACAGCAATATGTGTGATACAATAATCATGTTTATGTGACATATTTGACTGGTGTCAACATTAGGAGAAAATTTTCAGTGGTTGCAGTGACTCAGTGTATGTGTGTCTTTGGGTTTTGGTTTTGTTTGTTATTGGTTTGTTTTGAAATTAACTTAGTCAGTTTATGCACCAGTCATTTTTAAGTAGGAGAGTCAACCAACCATTCCCAGAAATGGGACAAAATAGCACCAACAAGGAAAGTTCTGTATTAATAAGTGCAATATAAAGTCAGTTTGCATGTTAATTTAGGAATTTGAAGCTTGAAGGAAATAGATGACATAACTAATGCAGTCAATCACTGATCAATGAATCACACTTATTAGGCTTATTCCTATCTTTAAGCCACCTCAAGTATCTCTAAACTAAAAACACTTTTGCTCTACTACTAACATACAAACACCTCTGCTAGGCAACCCATTTTTGTTGATCTACAATCTGTCACTTAAGACAGGTTTCTCAGTATCTTAAATAAGAACATTTAATGTCTACACGACAATATTCTGAATCACACAAACAGTTGAGGTGAGATTTAACAGACTGTCCTTGTGTCCCTTCTAAAGGATTCATTTAAAGAAAATTGTTTCCTATCTCAAGGCACTGAGGATTAAAAACAGCAGACTCTCACATCAAAGAAATAACTTTACATATACCTAGTGCCTTATCTCTTCAAAATGCTATATGAGCAATAAAGTATTTACATTTTAATAAAATGTTCTTAATAAAAAAGCCTGTTCAGTTTTTATTTCCATAAAGACTTTACATAAAAATACCTCTTTGTTCAAAGTATTAGCCTAAAAGATAATTTTTCAAAAGGTAATAAAACATCTTGCAATGGAAGTGAAAGGGCAGAGGTTGCTTAACATGTGATCTTAATTAGTGACAACTGTAATGTGTCCCAATATCTGTGTATATATACAAGTAGAGACAGCATCCAATAACAATGGCTGATACTAGCTTCATTGTTCTTCTAAGATAAGCAGCAATTAAATGCCTAATGAAGTGGAATGTAAGGTATTAGAGTTAACAACCCTTTAAGTTGAGTAGAGCAGTTAACAGCTCTCAGGGCTATTATTTCCGTTTCCCTGCACTGGTTTACATTTCCTTCACATTTTGAAAGATTCCTTTTCAACCTGTCAACCTTACTTCTTGAGCAGATTCACTGATCTTATTGGGTGTATCTACAGAGCAACTAGACACCTGCAGCTGGCCCCTGCGGGGCTGTTTAGTTGTGGTGTACACTTCTGGGCTCGGGGACCTTCCCACCCCAAGGTCCCAGAGCCTGGACTCCAGCCCGAGCCCGGAACTCTACATAGCAATGAAAAAGCCCTGCAAGCCAAGCCCGAGTAGGCTGGCATGGCACAGCCATCCGTGTCACAGAATCATAGAATATCAGGGTTGGAAGGAACCTCAGGAGGTCATCTATCCCAACACCCTGCTCAAAGCAGGACCAATCCCCAACTAAATCATCTCAGACAGGGCTTTGTCAAGCCTGACCTTAAAAACTTTTAAGGAAGAAGATTCCACCACCTCCCTAGGTAACGCATTGTTTCAACACCCTCCTAGTGAAAGAGTTTTTCCTAATATCCAACCTAAACCTCCCCCACTGCAACTTGGGACCATTACTCCTCGTTCTGTCATCTGCTACCACTGAGAACAGTCTAGATCCAACCTCTTTGGAACCCCCTTTCAGGTAGTTGAAAGCAGCTATCAAATCCCCCCTCATTCTTCTCTTCTGCAGATTAAACAATCCCAGTTCTCTCAGCCTCTCCTCATAAGTCCCCTAATCAGCCTCTCCTCTTCCAGTCCCCTAATCATTTTTGTTGCCCTCTGCTGGACTCTTTCCAGTTTTTCCACATCCTTCTTGTAGTGTGGGGCCCAAAACTGGACACAGTACTCCACATGAGGCCTCACCAATGTCAAATAAAAGGGAACGATCATGTCCCTCGATCTGCTGGCAATGCCCCTACGTATACATCCCAAAATGCCATTGGCCTTCTTGACAACTAGGGCACACTGTTGGCTCATATCCAGCTTCTCGTCCACTGTAACCCCTAGGTCCTTTTCTGCAGAACTGTTGGCTAGC